CGAACCAAGCGGTTCTTCTTAAGTTAAATATCTGAACGAATATCTGAATCGAGAACAAACATGTTTGGTTCTAGATAAAAAAATTGAAGAACAGAATCTCCCTAATTTTTTTAATTAATTTATTTTAAATAAGCCAAAATTTATTTTTTCCAAATAAATTTGCTAATTAGTTAATTTAACTCAAAATCAAAGATTTTTTTATTTCTAATTTTCAGTTCAAAACCAACTTAATCAAATTGATCTAAGTTATGTCCAAATTGTTGTTCTAACATAGTGTTGTTTTTACCGTTATGGAGAAATCGAATTGAAACTCGATAACGCCTCTTTTAATTATGTGAGCTCGCTATCTTCTCCTTCATATTATTTTAATAATCAAATCTATGAAGAATTAAGTAAAGAGAGACGCAAAAGACACGTAATATTTGATTACATTATTTTGTAAGAGCTAAAATTAAACATATTATTAGTTGAATTAATGTAACTTTGCAAATATTAAAAAATTTAATTATAACATGAAGCCTGAGAATCGAATGGAAGCGAATCGAATCGAATGGAACCGAACCCGAACGTTTTCATAATTAAATTTGGACCTGAAGGTTTCACTTACTAAATACCAAAAATTTCGGGTCCAGTTCAATTCTCATTAAAATCGAACCAAATAGGACAATGTCCAACCCTAATTTCTAGCTATAAGTTCTCATATGACAATTGGATGTGTTTTAACTAGGAATAGAAATCACCTATGGCAATGCTTCGAATCATAGAGGCTTTTTTTCCTCCATGCTACTAGAAGAACCATTCAATCCTTAAGAGACATGATGGTTCTAATGAGAATCGAACAAAAGCAGAACATGTCCAGCCCTAATTTCTAGCTGTAAGTTCTCTTATGACAATTGGCTGTATTTTAACTAGGAATAGAAATCACCTATGGCAATGCTTCGAATCATAGGGGCTTTTTTTCCTCCATGCTACTAGAGGAACCATTCAATCCTTAAGAGACATGGTGACTCTAAAAAAGAATGTCATGTATGCAACAAGTACAATTAACTCGTGTGGGTAAGAGTGATACATGAACTTTACTCATGTATATTCTTTATATTGGAAAGTGTGGTTTATTTCAAGACGAAAGCCATATTAATGAGCGAATATGACTACAAATAATAACGCAATAGTTTTTGAAGATAAAATATTCTTTCCAAGGTAACTACAAATGTTTCAAGTACCAATCGTTATCTCATGATCCAATTTCATGAACATCCAAAGCGTCCTCACAGTAATAGTCGAACAATGAAATTATACTTCCAATGTCAAAGATGTCTTCTATAAAATCGTTTAGCATCTAGTGATACAATTTGGTGTCTTTCAACTACATAACACCACCATGTTTATTTAAATCATACATAAACTCAACTTTATATCAAAATCATATGTGAATTCACAAATTTCTATCTCATTTAAACGCAAATTAACTTCGGTCCGTCAAAATTAACGAATCCATGTGGTAAATTGTTCAGAGTTCAAAATAATGCTCAAAATCGATTCCTCTCGGAGCGGATGCCTATATCTATGAGGAAATGCAGATATCTGACTCCAGATAAGTAAGAGAAAGTATAAGATGTTTCATAAGAGATGAACTAAGACAATCTATTGTAGATTGGATTAAATTCAATTTTTGCATCAGTGTATCTCTTCGAAAATTTTAAGTATTATTTCAAGTTTATCGTATGATGAGGATAACAAAATACAAATGGAAATGGGCATTGTATTTGCCACATTGAAAGCTAAATCATATATAGCCCTTGTCTGAATCCCATTTTTCATCAAAATGTATTCTTCAATAGTGATTTGACCTCATTTCAATCACATTTTTCAATAAAATAATATTACACGTAAATTCAAAACTTTTTCTTATTTTTTAACCACACATTTGCCATCATAACACTATTTGAAAATGCATTTTTTGAAGAAAATGGGGCTCAAACAACCCCATAGAGGAGATACAAATTTTGGGTGTTCATGGATGATTTTAGTACACAAGTAAAGTTCATTTATAGTTTTTGATATAGGGGTCAAATTTAAGTACTATTTACACAATTAACTTTTCAAGTGTCTGTCACATCATTTTCATTTATGCACTCCATTTGCCACGTGAATTAGTATAATGGAGAATGCCATTTGTATAGTAATTTTTCCACAGAATTTGGCTAGATTACTCTCATGTGTGGGACCCACCGTGAATACCCACACCCACCCCCCTATGTGTGTGTTCTGGTAGACTTTTGTATGAAGCCTGTATGTACACACAGCATGATCCTATTATATTAGTTTTGACTGACATAAATTAACTCATGTATGGATGTAGTATAAGATTGTGAGTTCATATATAATTTTGGTACATGAAATAAAGTTCATAAGTACTGTTTGCGCATTTAACCCTAGCAAATAACATGTTTGGTTAAGCAAGTTTACCTACTTTCATGATTAGGCTGTGAACATACATTCGAGTAAATATAGCCCTAAAAAATTGGTATATTCACCGGAACATTAGGCCCTCGTCTGGTCACTCTTATTTTCCAACTTTTAGTAATTTTTTAACCGTCATACATTGCAAATGTATCATTTGTCTTTTTTTATATTTGAATTACCAGAATGCTCTTCTAAAGAAGAATTGATACATTGTTAAAGGGGCAGATGGATCATTTCATTGTCCAAATTAATTGTTAGGTATTGAGACAGTCAATAATTTCAAAAATTGACTTTAATTCAATCTACCATAGATGGTCTTAGTTCATCTCTTACGAACCATCTTATACTTTTTGATATTTGCATTTTCTCATTGATATAGGCGTTCGCTCCGAGAGGAATCGATTTTGAGCATTATTCTGAACTCCGAACAGTTTACCGCATGTATTCATCAATTTTGACGGACCAAAGTTAATTTGTGTTTAAATGAGATATAAATTTGTGAATTCATGTATGATTTTGATATAAAGTTCATTTATGGTTGTGATACATGAGGTTTCATGGACCATTCGTATTTTTAATTTTAAGTGTTGGCCACATTATTATCACATAATTCCATACGTCACGTGGATTATTCTGTTAATTTTGACTCTCAAAAATTAATTCATATATGAACGTAATACAAAATTGTAAATTTATATATAATTTTAATACCTTATTTATC